GTGTGTGTGTGTCTGTCTGTATGTATGCCAGTATGTGTCTGTCTGTATGTATGCCAGTGTGTATCTGTCTGTATGTATGCCGGTATGTATGCATGTATGTATGCCAGTATGTATGTATGTATGTATGCCAGTGTGTGTCTGTCTGTATGTATGCCAGTGTGTATGTATGTATGCCAGTATGTATGTATGTATGTCAGTGTGTGTCTGTATGTATGTATGCCAGTGTGTGTCTGTCTGTATGTATGCCAGCGTGTGTCTGTTGTATGCAGTATATGTATGTATGTTTGTCAGTATGTATGTCTGCATGTATATGTGTGTGTGTGTATGTCAGTATCTCCCTATGTCTGTTTCAGTATTTGTATCTGTTAGTGTGTGTGTATTCCTGTGGGCGGGCTTTGGAGGAGGGCCATGTGGGCGGGCTTGAATTTGGGGTACATCCAGGAACTGGGGAAATACTGTACATGGATTAAGTGGATTATGTGTCATGCTGAGGGGAGGAGATGTGTGGGAGATAACATATCTTTTATTGGTTACTGTAAAAATTACTGTGGGTGTCTCCCTTGCATGGGAGAATTGCTTAAAATCAGGCATGTGAAATTAAACCTTAGTTCAGTTCTGCTCCTGATGCTGTGTGTCGTCCAGTCATTGGGAAACATGTGGGGCACTTTTGGATGTCTTTACTAATTGTAGCGGAGAGGTACCCATTCACCGGCCGTTCGCGGGTTTCCACGTGTTCCTGGTTCCGGTTTCATCCGAATGGGTTACCTCCCAAATTGCTGCTCTTTCTCCTCTATTCGTTTAAATTTCTGCTGACCGTTGCTTTGCTGTGTAGTTTCAATCCCGTCGCTTGCCACTAATTGTAGCGGAGAGGTAGTATAATTCACAGTATCTCCACTGGGTAACAGGAACAACATAAAATAATCCAAGGAAATGAATACAGCATACAATAATCCCAGTAGCGTTATAAGAATCCTTCCTTCCCAAGAACTAGACGACACATAGGCTGGGAGTCAACTGAGCTTTATGGGATTCCCCATGCAAGTGGTTTCCCTACTGACATTCCAGAGGTGGTACAGTAGGGGACTACATGGGGAACTGAACAACACATACATTTCTCCCACCATGCACTGCTGTACAAGAGCAGAATATACAGTTAAGTGGATTATCCCTCCGTACAGCAGAACTTACATTTCACATTAAAATGCATAACTTTCATAATATTCCCTTAATTTAAACAAATGGACGTTCAGTAGATAGCTGGAGGCTGAGCGCACAGTTCGTGAGAATACCGCTCAGCTCCCAGCCTAACTAACCGAACGCCGTACGAAATACACATTATTTCCAAAACACTGTTAAAGTACCGACTGGTATTAGGGGAACAAACTACCGAATGCCCGGGGCTCTCGAACGGCCTGGAAGTCCAGCGGTGTTTGCGCCGTCGAGTAGCCGATTTTAATTCCAGGCGCTCAACAACCAAACACCGCTGGGCTAACAAAGGAACCAAGATGGCCGACTGCCGCGTGGTCGGTAGCCGAACGACGGCCAACTGGGAAAGCCTTTAACTATCGATTGCAACAATGTTGCAATCGGTTAATGGGCACCACACGACCTCCTGTGTGTGGTTGTGCATTCGGTAGTTTATTCGTTTCACGAACAGTGTTGAAACTCACTGTTCGTGAAACTACAGTCTGAATGCTGGGTTTTCATGCCGCCAGCATACGAATGCCCTTCATTCACCTGTAATGAAAATATAGCAATACACTTGGTTCTCAGTACTGAAACAGGGTTATAAACATATTCATATATGGATAGTCTTAAGTGGCCAGTTTTGCCACACTAATCGTGGATATTATTCTCTTGGGTTTTATTACTTGTTCCTGAGCCTTATTTGGAATATTAGTGGAGATAGTCTGTGGAAGACCAGCACTCCGCTACAAACGCAAAGAGCTTACCACCGTCACTTCAATGTAAGCTGCCATTCTTTGTCCATCCTTTGAGCTGCTAAATAATTCCTGTGGGGATATCTGAAGTTGTTGCTGTATGTTTACAAGCCGTGTACTACATTCAATAGTTATGTTATGTTTAATATAAAGGGTGGGCCAATATTAAGAGTAGGATTTGACAGGTAAATAACTTGTTAGTAGTTGAATTTTTCACTTTCAGGTACATATTATAACTGAGTATTGGTCAATTCATCATGGGTAATTTCATGGAGTTACATGAGAAAAAGTAGTGGAATTTAAATCTCAAAATGGCAGGTCCGTTATATTAACGCAAAGAGCTTACCACCGTCACTTCAATGTAAGCTGCCATCCTTTGTCCATCCTTTGAGCTGCTATATACTTCCTGTGGGGATATCTGAAGTTGTTGGTGTATATTAACAAGCCGCGTACACTTGAGCAGATCAAGGAGAATATCCGTGCATAAATTCGAGTCTCTTACATTCGCTTTTTTAATGAACAATGCAATTGAAAGCGTCCAACTTTGCGAGGCGGTAATGGAACTCATTTAATAGATGTCATCTTCCGTACATAGTCAAGCAAATCTTCATACGCTGAGCATTCATTGTATGTAATGTCATTGAAATTGGTTCATTCATAAAGAAAAACTGTTATTCACCCCTCAAACCCTACTCTGAATTTTGGCAGACTTTAAACTATATATACAATAAAAATACATAAATACACTATATACTCTACACTTACTCTGCACATAATACGTATTATGCAACTATACAATCTGCAATGCACACAGGTATACATCGAATATACCATATATATTTATATATATATATATATATATATATATATATACTACACTCAATAGTTATATACTCTGTATATACTTGTTATGCTTAAATGCACTACACACTCTACATGCACTATGCTCATATATACACCATATATCCTGTGTATTCTATATACAATCTGCAGTGTACACAGGTATACACCAAATATACAATATATATACTACATTCAATAGTTACATACACTGTAAATACTTGTTATGCTTAAATGCACTATACACTCTACAAAAACTACATACACTATATACATATATACACCATATATCCTGTTTATTCTATATACAATCTGAAATCTATAGAGGTATACACCTAATATACAATATATATACTACATACAATGGTTATGTTATGTATAATATAAAGGGTGGGCCAATATTAAGAGTAGGATTTGACAGGTAAATAACTTGTTAGTAGTTGAATTTTTCACTTGCAGGTACATATTATAAATGAGTCTTGGTTAATTCATCATGGGTAATTTCATGGAGTTACAACGAGAAAAAGTAGTGGAATTTAAATCTCAAAATGGCAGGTCCATTATTTTAACGCAAAGAGCTTACCACCGTCACTTCAATGTAAGCTTTCATCCTTTGTCCATCCTTTGAGCTGCTAAATACTTCCTGTGGGGATATCTGAAGTTGTTGCTGTATGTTTACAAGCCGCGTACACTTGAGCAGATCAAGGAGAAAATCTGTGCATAAATTCGAGTCTCTAACATTCGCTTTTGTAATGAACAATGCAAACGAAAGCGTCCAACTTTGTGCGGCGGTAATGGAACTCATTTAATAGATGTCATCTTCCGTACATAGTCAAGCAAATGTTCATACGCTGAGCATTCGTTGTATGTAATATCATTGAAATTGGTTCATTCACAAAAAAAAGCAGTTATTCACCCCTCAAACCCTACTCTGAATTTTGGCAGACTTTAAACTATATATACAATAAAAATACATAAATGCACTATATACTCTACACTATATAAATATTTCTTCAACACACATATATACACTTTTAACACCATTGACTTTATGTATTTATACTCTTTATAGTTTATAAATATATATATATATATATATATATATATACATTTTCAATTAACTTTATACATATTTACTATATATACAATGTAAACGGTATACACACATACGTAATGCTAAATAATTATATTCTCCATATAGCAAGGCAGTAAGGAAAGTCTGCATTATATTCTTAATTAAGAAGGTGGGAAATACCCACAATGCACTTTCCTTACCTTCTCTTATTAATCTTTCTCGCATCCTGAACGCATTTAAGCTCTTCATACATGAGACCATATTGAAAATGGATCCATGTAATACCCTTCCCCTTCTTCTTGATCCTCCAGTCTCTCTTTGGCCCAGATTTTGATGAACATGTAGGACCCTCTGATTGGTGTTTTTAAACATTTCATCAAGCCTGGTTTTAGGTTGTCCTCCTTGGCCCTTGACACCAGCTGTAAACAAGACAACTCTAGTTGATTTGAGCATTCTGATGTTGCTATGACTACTTTTGCTTTCATATCAGTGGATATAAATTATGTCATAAACGGTTTTGTGTTGCGCAGGGAAAGTCAATGCTTCAGTGTCAAGCATGCAAAATTTGCAGTCTATTAACAGTCACTCCCTCACTCACTCACTCAATCAATCTGCAATGAATGATATCAATGTAGCATTGATTGATAGATTCCTAAATCGATCCCACGTACTGATTTCATATCAAACAATAGTTGTTGTTGTTTTTTTACTACAGTAGTAGTGTTTCACATTCATCTAAATAAATACTGCTTCTTACATTTATACTGGGAATAGATTATAACTTTAAATACTCTGTGTGGCGAAACCGGCCTCGCCACGTGTCCTTGGAGGGGGCTGCTTGCCCGCCTCTTGCCTTTGGACTATGGACCAGACTTTATGTGAATGTGTTAACCCAGATAGCTATGCCATGGAGCCCATTCGTGTAGTTAAAGACTTCGCTCCATGGCAATTGAACTGTGTGAATAGGATCTGAGCGCTATTCGGTAGTTTTGTGCGCTCAGATCCCAGCTATCTGGGGATATGTGACATGTCTGTGTTTTATGTATAAAATGTGACTTTGTGTATTTTATAATATTTTAATACTTTGTGCTCACCATGTGCATAATGGAGTCTTGTGTCTGTCCTGGGAGATAATTGAATTACTTCTCAATTCAATCTCCAGGATAGAAGACTCTGAAACTGGTTTGGGCCGGAAAGCCATGCTTCATTTAGTCACAAAGGACTTTCCCTTAACTTTTGAACCCCTGGTCTGATTTGTGCCATTTTTTAATATGTTGTTCCCCTGAATGGATTGATTATGAAAATGTATGTTTTATGTTTGTGACATGTATATTTTTAGAAGTTATAAATATTGTGTAAAAACTGTATTCCTCTGCCGGTGATAATGAGATTACCCATTGTGTTCAGTAATCATATCACAGGCAGAGGGGAGGATTTTGTGTGGGAGTGTCTGGGTGTATTGTACGGATTGATTGGTTGTTTTGTAACGCCCTGTGGGCTGTACTATGTTTGTGGATTGGGAATAAAAGAGACTGTATGTGACAGTACAGGGAGTTCCTGTTTTAACCCTCAAAGTGAAGTGTCGTCTCATTATTGGGGGAAGGATTTATTGTATGCTGTTCCAGTTTGACTGCTAGGAGAGTAAACCTATTCATATGGTTCCTATTCAACTGTCTACAGCATTCAAATGCTTGGGAGAATTTATTTGTTTCTCCGGTTCGGTGATTGTGGTGTCTGCCAGAGTGCTTGGAGTCCTCAGGAAGCGCTAGGAGCATCCTTCAACGGAGGTACCCAGTCGGGGTGCCAGGTGATCCGTTACACTCTACCAGAATATAATGTGACCCGACAATGGTGTCATCCAAGAAACTCCCCATCAGACACACATTAACATTAATATGAGGTCAAAACATATCAAATGTACTTAAAGAAACACTCTAACATTAAGGATACAAACATTTTTCTCACTATATAGATTTATCTCCATTCCCGCCACTCTAAAAAAAAACTCTACATTTTAAAAGTAATAAGATTTTCTTAGCTTTAGTTCCATAATGTGACGGTTTCTGTTTTCACCGCAGATGCCAATTCTCTCTCCGGCTAAAAATATCTTTACAGATGAAGCAATCAAATGCTTCTCCATTAAGCTGTAGTGGTTCTGGTGCTTTCCGTGTCCCTTTAAATTGGTTTGTTGCGCTACGTATGCCTGGAACATTCTTTCAAGAGTCGTACTGTTGTTTGTGCGTCCACAAATTTAGTGATGTATTCCCCTCCATTTAAAGCTGTAGTGGAATCCTTGATTTTGCAAGATTTTCTGTGGCTGCGGTTCTGGTGGCTCCTTCTGGTATTGCTGACCCATTTGTCATTTACTTCCTCATATCCTGGCTTTTATTTTTTCTCCTTTTTTTCTTCAGTTGTCCAGTTGTTTGGATATGAAATCTCCATTCCATTCACCAAAATTATGTATCCCTAATTAAAAAAAAAAAAAAAATTGCTCTTTGCTATCATGGAAAATATGTATATCTATCTATATGCATTATATACTTAACTGTCCACATAATACGTATTATGTAACTATGCAACACTATATTAAAAATACTGTTTACACATACACACTGTATACGTAAATAATATATAACTCTTATATGCTAATGATTTACTCTAGTCATATACTCGATATAAAAACTACACAAGCTGTATACATTGTGTGCACTCTATACTCATGTATATGTAGATTATATACTCTATATACCTGTTATGCTTAAATGCACTATATATTTTACATGTGCTATATATATACACCATATATCCTGTGTATTCTATATACAATCTGCAATGTACATAGGTATACACCGAGTATACAATATATATACTGTACTACATTCATTCGTTATATACTCATTATATACTTGTTATGCTTAAATGCACTATACACATATATACACCATATATCCTGTGTATTCTATATACAATCTGCAATGTACACAGGTATACACCTAATATACAATATATATACTACATTCAATAGTTATATACTCTATATTTACTTGTTATGCTTAAATGCACTATACACTCTACATGCACTAAACACATATATATGCCATATATTCTGTGTATTCTATATACAATCTGCAGTGTACACAGGTAAACACCGAATATACTATATATATATATATATATATATATACTGCATTCAATAGTTACATATGCTATATATACTTGTTTGCTTAAATTCACTATACACTCTACATACACTATATACATCTATGAATATATACACCATATATCCTGTGTATTCTATATACAATCTGCAATGTATAGAGGTATACACCGAATATACAATATATATACTACATTCCATAGTTACGTTATGTATAATATAAAGGGTGGGCCAATATTAAGAGTAGGATTTGACAGGTAAATAACTTGTTAGTAGTTGAATTTTTCACTTTCAGGTACATATTATAACTGAGTATTGGTCAATTCATCATGGGTAATTTCATGGAGTTACATGAGAAAAAGAAGTGGAATTTAAATCTCAAAATGGCAGGTCCGTTATATTAACGCAAAGAGCTTACCACCGTCACTTCAATGTAAGCTGCCATCCTTTGTCCATCCTTTGAGCTGCTATATACTTCCTGTGGGGATATCTGAAGTTGTTGGTGTATATTAACAAGCCGCGAACACTTGAGCAGATCAAGGAGAATATCCGTGCATAAATTCGAGTCTCTTACATTCGCTTTTTTAATGAACAATGCAATTGAAAGCGTCCAACTTTGCGAGGCGGTAATGGAACTCATTTAATAGATGTCATCTTCCGTACATAGTCAAGCAAATCTTCATACGCTGAGCATTCATTGTATGTAATGTCATTGAAATTGGTTCATTCAAAAAAAAAAAACTGTTATTCACCCCTCAAACCCTACTCTGAATTTTGGCAGACTTTAAACTATATATACAATAAAAATACATAAATACACTATATACTCTACACTTACTCTGCACATAATACGTATTATGCAACTATACAATCTGCAATGCACACAGGTATACATCGAATATACAATATATATTTTTATATATATATATATATATATATACTACACTCAATAGTTATATACTCTGTATATACTTGTTATGCTTAAATGCACTACACACTCTACATGCACTATGCTCATATATACACCATATATCCTGTGTATTCTATATACAATCTGCAGTGTACACAGGTATACACCAAATATACAATATATATACTGCATTCAATAGTTACATACACTGTAAATACTTGTTATGCTTAAATTCACTATACACTCTACAAAAACTACATACACTATATACATATATGCACCATATATCCTGTTTATTCTATATACAATCTGAAATCTATAGAGGTATACACCTAATATACAATATATATACTACATACAATGGTTATATACTCTATATATACTTGTTATGCTTAGATTCCCTATACACTCTACATGCACAACATACATATATACACCATATATCCTGTGTATTCTATATACAATCTGCAATGTACACAGGTATACACTGAGTATACAATATATATACTGTACTTCATTCAATCGTTATATACTCTATCTATACTTGTTATGCTTAAATGCACTATACACTCTACATGCACTATACACATATATATGCCATATATCCTGTGTATTCTATATACAATCTGCAGTGTACACAGGTATACACTGAATATACAATATATATACTACATTCAATAGTTATGTTATGTATAATATAAAGGGTGGGCCAATATTAAGAGTAGGATTTGACAGGTAAATAACTTGTTAGTAGTTGAATTTTTCACTTGCAGGTACATATTATAAATGAGTCTTGGTTAATTCATCATGGGTAATTTCATGGAGTTACAACGAGAAAAAGTAGTGGAATTTAAATCTCAAAATGGCAGGTCCATTATTTTAACGCAAAGAGCTTACCACCGTCACTTCAATGTAAGCTGTCATCCTTTGTCCATCCTTTGAGCTGCTAAATACTTCCTGTGGGGATATCTGAAGTTGTTGCTGTATGTTTACAAGCCGCATACACTTGAGCAGATCAAGGAGAAAATCTGTGCATAAATTCGAGTCTCTAACATTCGCTTTTGTAATGAACAATGCAAACGAAAGCGTCCAACTTTGTGCGGCGGTAATGGAACTCATTTAATAGATGTCATCTTCCGTACATAGTCAAGCAAATCTTCATACGCTGAGCATTCATTGTATGTAATATCATTGAAATTGGTTCATTCATAAAAAACAGTTATTCACCCCTCAAACCCTACTCTGAATTTTGGCAGACTTTAAACTATATATACAATAAAAATACATAAATGCACTATATACTCTACACTATATAAATATTTCTTCAACACACATATATACACTTTTAACACCATTGACCTTATGTATTTATACTCTTTATAGTTTATAAATATATATATATACACTTTCAATTAACTTTATACATATTTACTATATATACAATGTAAACGGTATACACA